AACAAGATCTAGTATTCTTGCATGTTCTGCAGGCAATGAGGTAGGAGTACAGGTGGAGTAGCGTGTGTGTGTGGAGTGTGCTCTGGTTTGGCAACTTCAGGAGCTGTAATTCTCTGTTTAGCACAACCACACATACGACATACACATTCCCACCCCATGTTCCATCTCTCTGCCTCGAACCTGACTTGAATAAACCATAGCAGAGGTCAGCAAGATATGTAATGTCTTTGCTTATTAATTCTTTGCCTTTCTTGTAAAGTTCCCAGCTTCCATGTCACTTGGGACAGGACATTTGTCCACTGGAATTGGATTACCCAATGTATATATTAACGGGAGCTATGTTTCCTCAAGTTCCTTCTGTAGGTTCTTTGTTGTTTGCACATCACTGGAGCACTCCTGTGCTGTGTCATACGACCCATTACCACCAGCTTTGTATAATGGTTCATATTTTTTCTTTCGGTTGTCAGACTTTTCAGTCATGATCTCTACCCTGGTTTTGGAATAGATGCTGTAATTTTCTATATGTTTATATCATGCCTAATACAGGAGAACCGTGGTCTCTGATGTGTCTCATTAATTTCAGTCTCAGCCAATGATTATTTTGGGGGAGGTCTGTTTTGTTACACTATGTGTATAATTATAGAGGATTTTCTCTCTTACTACACTGATAAATTGTTATTAAGAGTTTATTATTATACTAAAATGGTTTACCCTAATAGGTCATTATTAGAGTGCAGATTCCCATTAATTCAATTTCTTTTTAAAAAATCATGAGATGCATCTCCCCAGTTTGGGTTGGTCTCATCACCCTCTGCACTTAAATGAAAACATGCCTGTGTGTACACTTGTACTCCCATGGTGGTCGTGCTCACACAGCTCTTCACTTTGCTCTTACCACCCCCAAGGTGGATGTACCAGCAGTAGAGCTGGTCCCAGAGGAGACACTCCCATCTCTTGCAAGCTCTTAAGTTGTCTTCTCACCAGCCAAAATATTTTGGAGGAATTTTCGGAAATGCAGGTGCACGCGGTTGTCAGGAGCAGCTTGCTTTGAGTTATGTGGCCATTTCATCTTACAGCAGCCGTGCTCTCGAGGGCAATTATCTCTGTAGTAATTAACAAGGGAATTTTCTCTGATGCTGCAGCGTGAGTCATGCAGCTTCCAAAAGATTAGTCTGTTAGTTACTGAATAAAATATTTGCAGATGTACTTAGATGTGATAACATCTCTGACTCATTATGGATGCAGGAATAAAGATCTGCAGGGCCAAAGTGTGACTGCAGGATCCAGAATTTTAGGCTCCTCTAGCAGCTCCATGACCCCAGTGTTAATGAGAGGAATTTAGTTCTGCAGTCAAGCCCGAACAGAGGAAATAGTTCTTTTGCCTCATCACTTTGTTAGCAAGGAAGAAGAGACAGCAGTCATTTGCTCTTCAAAAGAGCTCAAATGCCATTCTTGAGGGGCAGGGGAGAAGATACTTTGGCTTGCTAACTCCATTTCCCCAAACAGAGAGCAAAATTAGGCCAAATGATACCAAACATTGCAACAAAGGTCATGTTTTCTTAGTAGTTTTTTTCATGAGTTAGAGATGAGCTTTGAGACAGCCAACTTCAGCCTCACAAGAAAGCATTTCACATTAGCTTCCATGTTTTTTTCTTTTCTGAAGTATCTGTTTAAACATTTTTTTAATTACAAAGACCCTGCTTTCAAACACTGGGTTGCATTGCAAACATGCAGCAGTTCTGCCTTTTGCAAATACCCAAGATATGGGATATACAACCTAATTCCTTTGTCTGGAACACAGATACTAATCTTTGATACTAAACTTTCATTGGTATCAGCCTTAAGTATGCTGCTCCTGACTTGCACCAGTTAGCTGTAGGAGAGTCAGAGCTGCAACTCATGAACAAAACTGGAATGGATTTGAGACTAAACACTTGGCAGTATGAATTGTGAAGAGTAAGGTAAGTAGGTTTTTGAAGTCATACCAGTTAGTGTCTTCTTCTGATGGTGTCCACAGCAGGAGAATGCTTAAAGACTTATTAGCTAATAATTTGTAGTTAATTTGTGCTCTGTGTGATGTAGCAGAGTGGGAGTAGGGACTGACCCCGTTTGTGACCACTGTGGTTTAGCCATAGTTGACACTGGAACTGAAAACCGTAACACAGAGAGGGAAATATGATTTAACTCTGGAAGTCTTTGACCTCTGAGTCAGAGCAGGGGACTTCTACAAATGCATGAAGTGATCAAGGTTTTAGGACTAGAGGGGATAACTGTTTGTTCTCTGGGGCCTTGTGTAAAAATTGAGTGGGAATTAATCCTTTACTCTGCTGTGGCATTCTCTTTATTGACAGAGAAACATTAGGAACAAGCATATTACTGCAATCTCCTTCTATGGCAAAAACCCCTTCAGTCAGAAAATTCAAAGCAAAGAAAACATGAAAATAAAATCCACTAACCGTATCTTACCGTACCACATGTAAAGTAATCAGGTTCAAATTGTCTTCAGTTTTGCTGGCCTAATAAACAGAGCATCTATCAAAAGCATTGTTTCAACAGCACAAAAATGAGAGTGACTACCTCCTTTTATGTATCTTCAGTGGTTTACAGAAAAGAAAATTTTACACCAAAATTAGCCCAAAATTTGAAAATCTCGTCAGTACTTGAAGTGGGTCATGAAATGAGCAGTGTAGTCCCTTCACTTTATTCCTAATGCCATATTTGTGTTTATGGATGTGTTGTCCTTGCTTGATAGTAGGTTCTGTTTGTGTAATTTAATTTCTTCCTCATTATAGGCATGCAGCTTGCAAATCTAATAATAAATTTTCTGTAAATATTACTTTGGGAGGCATCTGTTCCTTAAGGAACCCTTTTTTTTGTTTGTTTTTTTGTTTTATTTATAAAATATACACAATGTAAATAGTCCCTGGAAGACCTTGTGCAAGGCCAGGGATGTGATGACATATGATCCTTCGGATCAGGCAAATCTGAATTAGGACTTGGAAAGAAATCTTTTTAGGGGTTTATCTGGTCACAGGAACAGTGACACCATGGCAAGGGTTCCCTGTTGCCCATATAGCTAAGGGACAAGGTAAAGTTTGCAGAAGGAATCATATCATTTATACATGAAAGGAGTTTCTCGGGACAGGGTGGGGAGAGCACTTTCTTCATCCTTGCATCAGTATAGGCAAGCTGCCTGGATGCACGAAATTCGGTGGAGAAATTGTGGTTTATGTCAGTTGGGAATTTTTTCCTGTAAGGAGGAGTAGCCTCAGACAGAAAGACATGTATCATGTGACTGAGATTTTTTTCTTTTTTGCTTTGTTCTGGCCATTAATTCAGCTGCACTGTTTGTACTTCAAAAGTTATAAAATGTTGCATAAACACATTGCATGGTGTATCCATTGTGAGATTACTTAAATTGGCAGCATTCAGGGAAGGGATAATTAGAGGCACCCAATGCCTGCTGCCCCTGATAAAAGATAAAAGATGAATGAAGTGAGACAGGTCTGAATGATGTCCATGGGCATACCAGTCCCTAGAAGGTAGAGTGATGAAAATCCCCAGTTTTGGCACATCACAGGAGAGAGGCATCTGGGGATATTTTTCCATGCATCCAGCCTCCATTCAGCCTTATACTCAGGTGGTGGAGAAACAACAAAAGCCACAGACAACTATATATCTGTCTCCACTGGTTAAAGCATGCCTTCCTGACCTCTTGGACTGGCTGGGTGCATGGTACAGGGTTTTTGCTGCAGAACTACATCAAAGCTGTGTGATGTTCTCAGAGGGCAATGCGAAGCTGCTCATGTTCCCTGTCATCCATAAAGAGAGGACATGAATACAGGAACTGTTACCTTTATTCCAAGATCAGAAGAGACCCTATGACTTTTGTCTTCTTAAATTTCCCCTAGAAAATTTATTATAATGGATATTATAAGATTAGATATTATAAAATATAGTTAATCCACAATTCTGAAGTCCGTCTAAGAACTATTTAACTGTTTGGATATGGATCTAAGCAACTAGCCCCCCTTGAGCATGGATGTTGGAGAAGATGACCTCCCAGGGTCCCTTCCAACCTCAGCCATTGCTGTGGTCCTGTGAACTCCATGCTAGTTTCTACTTCCTCTGATAAACTATCCTCGTATTTTGTTCCCCGCTACTTAGTTCAGATAATCTGATATCATGACTACAGTAGAGAATTCTGGGCTTTTAGTTGGTTTGAGATTTGATAAAGTGTTGTATTTTGTTTATGTTAGAGTAGGGGCTTTATGTAGCTTAATGGTACTAAACATGGAAGGTGATTAAGGCCCCAGTTTGATTTGCCACCCTTTTTGCATTATCTCTGTATTGTGCACCATTGCAATGTAGTGGGATATTACATATGCATGGAGTTAAGCAGGTCAGTGGGTGGTTTTCTGGGTTAAGGCCAGAAAATTTAGAATTCATGTAAATGACCCCTTATGTATATTTTGGTGCATCTGAGGAGTGGGAAAATAGGATGGAAAGGATTATAATTTTCTGCTAATTCAAAAAATGTTGTTTGGCAAGAATGCTATTCCTTTCAATTGCAAAATCGGAAGAAAGAATCTGTGAGAGGACAGAGTGAGATGACTCTGCAGTCAGCTCAGATATGTTCGTATGTGTTATGTGTGTTGATCAAACGATACCAGCGTAAGAAAACCTCACTTAATCCTTGGCAACTGCCAGTGATTTATGGCAGAATTAGCATAACATAGCACTTGGAATAATCTTAATCAAACTGAACTAGAGTGACACGTTGTCATACAAAAACAAAGATGTCTAAGAGAGAGAGAAGTAGAGGGGTATAATTTTATTCCCTACTTTTGAAGGTGAACATTTTTAATGACATTTCTTGTAAACAGTGTGAGATTTGAAGGCTGTAGCAGTGGCCTAGTCTTAGGAAAAAGAAAGCGAGTCTTGACTTTCTTCATGTATTCAAACAGAGCTTGATTTTTTTTTGATTTTTTTTTAATCAGGGATCTTGGAACTTCATTGTCCCACCTCTGTGTCCTGTGGATGGCTTGCTGTGGGCTCTCAGATTTAGATGGGATCTCTTCCTGCAGCTCTCTAAAAGTAAGTATACATGTGTCCTGCCAAATGACATCTCAGAACTTTCTTCAGTTGATACTCTTTGCTTACAGTGTTTGTTCTCACCCTTTGTTTTCCTAAATGGCTTTGGTGTGATGCCTTGAATTGCATGTTTAAAAGATGCTACAATATCACTTTTTTAAAATGAGCTGTAACAGTCAGGTCCGATCCTGAATACACATAAAACAACACAGTGTTTGTTGCCATATTAGACCCAGCTGTTTAGGGCAGCAACAGCCACACTTGAAAAATGTTCACGTCCTTGCTAATTTCATCCTCTAAATATTAGTATTTCAAGTATTAGAAAACATTTTGCAAAGCTTGAATGTTACTTGTGCAGTCCTGTGGTTTACATATTTATTCTGTTTACTTCTGCTGAGGAACTCTACGTAGCATATAACAATATCTCTGAGCTGAGCCAGCTGACCTGGCTGGATCACCTCGAGGTTTTGGACCTGGAAGGGAACAATATTGAGGACATCGACCAGATGCAGTACCTGAGACTTTGTTGCAAGCTAAGTCACCTGACAGTGGAGGGCAACCTTATTTGCCTGAAGCCAAATGCAGAGTCTGCAGAGGTGAGGACTTGGTTTGCACATATAGTGTTAATTTTTTGTCAGTGCTTTTTAGCTTTGAGTTGGAAATGAGGAATGTTTCTGCATCTTTTTATTGTATCATTCTAAGTAATGGCATGGCATGCGCTTCTCACCTTTCATTTAACTGATTTTGTGGTCTCATGGGTGTGGTGTCCAAGATGACCACACATGAAATGTAGGACTGCTAGTAAAGTCTCGGGCCTGCCTCCCAGCAGTGTGTTCCTTCTTACCTGTGAGAACAGGACTAAACTAGGAATAAGCTGTTCACATCTGTTGTGTCTTCTCACTGCTTGCAGTGCAAACAGGTATCTGAAAGGAAGACCAAGGAGAGCATGGACCCCAGCTGTGTGGATCCTTCTGGACTGTAGGGATCTTGCAGCAGGTTAGAAAGTAGTCAACATTTTTCTGACAAGATGTGCCAATCACAAGGTCTCAATTCACCCTGATCGCTGCTGGAAAGACAGCACAGTTGAGCACACACAGTCCAGGATGTTCCTGCAGAGCACTCATGACAACTTTTGGATACAGGCAGTGGAGAAGCCAGTGAGGAGAAGTGTGCCACTGGACCTTGTACTGATAAACAAGGAAAGACTGGTTTGGGAATACAAATGTTGGGGACTCCCTTGGCTGAAGTGACTATGAGATGATGGAATACAAGATCTTGTGTGGAGGAAGCAATGAGAAATGAATGGGATTACAACCCTTGTCTTCAGGAGAGCTAACTTTGCCCCCCTCAAGGAGCTACTTGGAGGAATCCCATGGATTAAAGATCTAGAAGATAGAGGGGTCCAAGAGAGCTGGTTGATAATCAAGCTTCACTTTCTCTAAGCTCAAGATTAGTGGATCAAGCAAAGGGGCAGGAGGTCTGAATGGATGAGCATGGAGCATCTGGCAAAACTCAAAAGGAAGAAGGAAGTTTATGGAAGGTGGAAAATACAGGCCATTTGTAAGGAATATAGGAAGATAGCATATCAACTACATAGGAATATAGTATACAGAGATGTGATGAAGAAGGCTAAGTTCCACTTGTAATTAAATCTGGCAACGGTTGTCAAGGACAACAAGAAGGGCTTGTTCAATTACATGGGCAGCAAAAGGAAGATTAGGATGATCTGGGGGTCCTGGTGAACAACAAGCTGTCCATGAGCCAGCAGTGTGTCCTTGTGGCCAAGAAGGCCAATGGTACCATCAGGTGCATTAGGAAGAGCACTGCCAGCAGGTCAAGGGAGGTGATCCTACCCCTCTACTCAGCACTGGTGAGGCCTCACCTGGGGTGCTGTGTCCAGTTCTGGGCTTCCCAGTTCCTAGAGAGACAAGACACTACCAGAGAGGGTCCAATGGAGGTCCAGGGAGATGATTAGGGAACTAGAGCCCTTTGCTTATGAGGAAAGACTGAGAGAGCTGGGCCTGTTTAGCCTGGAGGAGACTGAGAGGGAATCTTGTCATTGCATTCAAATATCTCAAGGGCAGGTGTTAAGAAGATGGAGCCAGACCCTTTTCACTTGTGCCCAGTGTCAGGACAAGGGGCAACGGGCACAAACTGAAACACAGGGAATTCCAGCTGAATATGAGGAAAAACTTATTTACTTGTGATAGAGCACTGGAACAGGCTGCCCAGAGAGGCTGTAGAGTCTCCTTCCCTAGAGATACTCAAAACCCACCTGGACATGATCCTGTAAAACCTGCTCTAGGTGAACCTGCTTTAGCAGAGGGGTTGGACTAGAAGATTTCCAGAAGTCTCTTCCAACCCCAACCATTCTGTGATTCTGTAATTAGATATCCATTTTTTGAGGCTTTTGCATTTCTTTTGGAGGCTCTCCAGTCCAAAAACAAGTGCTTCAATACCACCATGCTCAAAAGTTGAACCCTCAGAAAACAATGCTTGAGGTAACTGTACTGTAGGAACTGCTTGTTGCCCTTTCCCCTGAAATGTTAAAATCAAATGGTCAAAAAGACCTTCATAAAAAGCTGAGGATACAAAATACAGTGGTTCACCTCTTATGTACTGAAATGATAAAATAATTTCTGCTGAGGTATTTTGTTGAGGTCATGAGCTCCTCTGTGTCACAAAGATGAGAACACAGTAATACATGATCTGATTTGGGTTTCAGGGCACTCAACAAGCAAAGCAAAGCAAGGAAGACCTAATTCTACATGAACAGTCTCAGAACTGTATTATTCTCTTTCACTTTCTCCTGCTTCATAAAAAAGTATTGCTGGATTATTAAAACAAGCGTCTTGGCATGTATTGAAAAGGGAACTGGAGGAAAACAAGACTTTAAAACAATTGGCCATAGAAGACTTTTCCTCATTTTGGTCACATAATTTCTAATGCATATCATTGACTGCTTATGGCCAGCACACCAACATACTGGCATACAGGTTTTTTGGAAGATCAGAGGCCTGTGCACACACAGAGAGAGTTATGTAATACCCAGCACTCACCAAGGATGGTGCAATTCCCAATGGCACCATAAAGAGGTGATAATGCAGGGTTCAAAAATCAGAGCATGAGCTGACACTGTGATCCCACTGTGCCGTTTTCCATAGCTTCACTGTGCATTTCAAAGTAATCATGCCCATGCTTTTTATTTGCCTAAAAGGTAGGGTTTGGTATCTGTCCTGGACTTAGACTTGAAAGCAGGTGTTAACAGTAAAACTCAATCGTGTGGTAAATGTGTATTTTTTAAATCTTGGCACTTTTTAGATGCATGAATTAATAATATTTTTCAGATGTAATTGTTGGCTTGATCATTCACTCAGTAAAAGGGGCCATGTTTAGCTATCATAATTTTCCTCTCTGGAATTCAAGAGAATATATTATATACTTGCCTTTCTGTTTTGAAATGGTGGAAGTATACTTAAGAGACCACACTTGTAACTACTTGTAACCAGAATAATTACTCCATCAACATTCCTCCGTTATGGAAGATGCAATCATGTGAGGAAAAAAACATGTTCCCACTGTAAGGAAGAACTGCCTGCTTGTGATGGACAAAGCATGCCTAGTCATTCTTTTTACTCCCATGAAGATAAATACAACTTCTGACTCTTCCTTATTGTAGCTTCCTACCATGGAAATGGTGCAGTGTGTCCTCATGGTACAGAAAGTCTGATTCTACTCCCTTGTCATTCCTGCCCAATGCAAATGGTGATTTTGGAGGATGTAGTTTTCATTTGGCATCTTCTGTCCTTAAGTGTACTTGTAATGAAAAAAATGTCAGATTTCCTGTGGCTGGTTCAGGGGAGGAAATCAGTCCTTGGGATGCTGCTTCATGTTGTCACATAATGGAAGTGCAAAGAGGAGTGGTATGTGGTGGTGTGCCCTACTGCTCTTCTTCACACAGAATATCTGTCTCTACTCCTGTGCAAGTAGCTGCATTCAAATGCCAGGCAGAATTTGTTGAGGTAGTCTGCACAACTGTGTGTTTTACACTGAGTTGTAACAGAAGTTCACTCTAGTGTCCCACCCAGTGTCTGTATTGGGAAGCTGCTTTGCCCTCAGGTGGTTACAAAGTGGGTCCGGCCCTTGGCCGAGAGAGTTTCTTCATGGACTTTGTTGCTTTTGTGGTTTCGACTGATGTTTGCATTTCTTCAGGGCATAGAAAAACCACTGGAAATATTGAAAAGAATAGATGTGGACTTACTTTGGTGTGCCCTAGATGGCTAACTCTAATTTCTCAAGCTCCTTCTTGTAGTCTGGCCCTTGCTACAGCTCTGTAAAAGCTCTCCTATTTATTTACTTTTAATCTGCAGAATGGTCCAACTAAATTTACTGTTCTTTCTTCAGATGGCCTGTTTGCTTCCTATAATTTGATTTTCAGATGAGCTCATCTTCCCCTGTTATCTAAACCAAGAGCAACAACCTGATGATAAATTCTGCAGCCTCTGTTACAGTAATGTAACATGAATGTAACGTGATTCTTCTCTCCAACAGGACATGGCTGGAAAGTGGCTTTACCCATGACTGGTTGACTCATTTTCTAAATTAAGATTAAAGGCTTAGTTAGAGAAAATTAGTGTCTGCCTCTTAACAACAACAAACACATTTTATTTGGTGAGTTCCCTCTGCCATCATCAGTGCTGCACCGTATAAAGGGAGGGAGAATCCAACCTGTCAGGTCCCACAGAAAGACTTGTTTGCGGCAACTGTATTGAATGAGGACTTTGTGAGGTTTTCTAGTATGGCATTCAATGTCCCAAAAAGTGTAACATTTACCTGAGTTAAGCAATTGATCTCTAGGTAGCTGTTAATTTTTATTCTGCTACTAGTAGTCCACTCTGGCTTTATCGTTTTTTTACTAGAAGAGATTGCAACACTGTTGGCTGCCTTTTGTAATCCGAGACTGCTTTAACCAAACATATTCCCACTGCAAGCCAGCACAACCCAGTTAACCCTGAGGTATTGCTAAGTTTTCCCAAAGGTGAAGGTGCCACAAGGAGGTTTCTTTCTACTGCTGGAATCCACCAAAACAGCCCAATTTGAACTGTGCTCTGAGCACAGATGTAATTATTCTGGATTGGCTTTGCTGCTCAGAGGTCCCCCAGCTCTGGCTTGTGCTCATGAATCATTTTATGACATGTCACCTCCACCCACGCATGCAGAGAGGGGCTACACCAGTGCTTTCCCCATGGCTGTCACGCTGAGTCTTTGTGCATCGGGAACAACCGTATTGTTTTTCCAGCACACAGAGAAGAAACCCAAGTGCAGCCTCTTTTAGTCTTCTGTGCACCTGATGTTGGCATGCTACCTCTTGCAGAAGAAAATATAGTTTGAAATAAGCCTGTACTTCTAGCAGTGTGTAAAATTGGACACGAAACCCCCGAAGACTGCCCCAGAAAATCAGTGTGGTTCATTCATTGTAGATGATTTATGGGTGTGCCTAAAAACACGATCCATGGAAATGCTCTTTCTTTTCCCATCAGCTAGTGTGGCAACACTCATAATATGTTTTCACTTCTTCCTATCACCTGAGAATTGATGCAACAACCAGAGAATCACAAAAGTAGGGAGACTGGCTGAATGCTGAGGGTGCCCAGGCTTTCCATGGGCCTCAGTGGCCTTCTATACTACTGCAAATTATACATAATATAACAAAGGCAAATGCCAAAGTCATCAGTGGGTAAACAGCAAATGAGCCTTTGGGTGAAGGCCATGTCTTTGCACTGCTCAGGACATGTTCATGATCAATTCGAGTTGAAATTATGTGAGCAGAAAGCACAGTGAAATGAAACTCCTGTCTATTTGTATCTGTCAAATGAGGTGAATAGGTTTCCTTCATAGAAAGCCTTTAAAGTTATATGGCAGTCATATAAATTGAAGAGCGCTGTGCTGCTGGTGGAAGTTCACAGGCTGTTAAATTGACCACTTTCTTAATTTCTTCAGGAACCAGGTTATAATTACAGAGCGGAAGTAAAAAAACTTATTCCCCACTTGAAGTATTTGGACAAAATACCAGCAAACCAGACTGTTCCCCTTCCTTCCAAGAAGATGTATGAAGATTGTCTAATCATCAAGGAATCCATCAAGGAAGGTGGTTTAGCTGGAGACATTTCGTGGTTAGGTATGACAGGTTTCCTACTGGGGTTCATTTTTCAGGTTATGTGTTATGAAGAAAGAAAGGTGAAGAGCAAGCTGGCCTCTTCAAAGCCAACATTTAATTATAGTGAAGGGACAAAGGATGTTGTCTTCTTCACTTGGGAAGTAAGAAAGCTTTAATTCAGCAGATAACAGGGCAGATTTAAATGAATGTTGTCCTAAACTGGGTATCAAGATCAGGAAAATGCAGAAAACTTATAGATCATCTAGCAAATCCAGCAGTAGCTGGAAGTCTGTACTTAGGGTTCATTCTGCATGATGGGAAGAAGCAAAGCTTGGAAAGGAATGTTTCAATAACAGCTGTTCATATCCCTTTCCATGGGAACAGTTGATCCCATGTAGCATGTATGTAGTACTATTTCCTATTCCAGTTTAATAATAGGAAAGGGAATTTGGTCATCACCCCTCAACAGTAGCAACATCCCATCAGGATTGCATGGTCTCATAAGAGATCTGTTCTATTTTCTCTTCCACTGTGATTAAGTCCATTACATTCATTATTAGAGAGTAAATGATTTGAAAGTAAATCTGTTGTCCCCTTACCTACAGCCTTGGTAGTAGTTCAGATGTCCATGCTTTTACGTGTCATGCTACATGCACTTTACCACATATCATTAAATATTGCAAAGTATTTCCTATAAGTGCTCCTGTTGCTTTCCCATTAGTGTGGGCAATGCAGTTGGCTTCCCAGCCCCCAACCCCTCAGCTGTGGTTTGTCTGCCAATTGTACTCCATTAAAAATTTAATCTGTTTTGGAATAAGTACATACATTTGTCATTTATTTAATCCCTATGGGTCCAAATCATTAGTTGTAATAGTAGTTATGGTAGGGAAAAAATCCATTAAAATCTGATCCCTCAGTGATCCTGCTTTGGCAACATCACCTGTGGTTCAGAAAACTAGTTAACAAAGTTTGCTGACAGAAGCAGTAGGGACAGAGCACAAAATTGTGATTTCATGTCATTTCCTCGTGTAACCAGACTTATGTTCTTGCCGTCAGCTCTAAAAGATGAGCTCATATGGTCAGGTTCAGACATCCCCATATTGTTTTTTTCTTTCCTTTACCAACACTGACTTGGGTACTTTTCACATGCTGTGTATTTCATGAGTTTGTTTTAACAACTATGGCTGAGATACATTAAAGACTCTCAGCTCTTAAGGAAATGGCCACATTATTACAGAGCTGATGGCTCGCTGTGGAGCTGGTAGATGCTCAAGACTTTATAAAGGCGTTATTCATCTAGGCACTGAAATTAAATCCACTCTTCTATGGGTTATTGGCTGCATATGCTGCTCTTACAGCTGTGCTGTTCTCCCAGGACAGCCAGCGTTTGGGCAGGTAAGAGAACAAGGCTTTGAGTGGCTTTGCTAGCTTTTGTGTAATTCACAGTGTCCTGTAGCATCACAAAAATGCAATTTTCACCTTTCTTTCTGTGGTAGAGAAGTATCTGTCTCTGAGGCAAGACTGGAAAAACCCATCACTGCCATTTCCAGATTTCTGTAACTCCTGGTACACAGTTTGCCCTGATTGTGTAGTTGCTCTGGTAAGGTGGCCATAACCATCTGCATTGTGCCAGGGCATTTAAGCAACCTATTTTAAGACTGAGAGCTTAGGCTGTGCCTGTGGCAAGTCTGCAATGGTTCCCCCATGGGCAAGTGAGCAGGAAATGAGAGGCAGCTTCCACTTATCCTGGACATGCAGGCAGGGGAAGTAGCAGAGCCCTGGATGCATCCAGGTTCACCTGTGGGACAGTCAGAGGTGGATGGTGAGCACAGAGCAGTTCCTGACCCCAGTAGTCTGTCTCTGGCTCCCAGGAGCAGAAAAGTGAGAAGGGATATTAGTTTGACTGGGCATCCCACGTTCTGCCATCTGCAAATAACAGTTAGAAGGGATTGTGTGCAGCACAGGAAACCCTCTTTCTCTAGGCTTGATCCATTCCAGCATGTTTCTTGTAGCTGCAATTACACATTTTTCTGTGCCCTATAGCTCCAAATGTGCAGCAGCCAATTGTATTGGCTGTGTACGGTGATGGTGTGGTTTAAAGCCTTACACAACTATGCTTTCACTAGTGAAATCTTTCTTTTAGATCCATATCTTGGGGCAGTAGCAAGGCAGTCTGGATGTGGCCCAAGACCCCCAACAACTTCCAGACCTGGAAATGCACAGTGGTCTGCTAATGTAGGGAGATTTAGTGATGCCCAGCTCTTGTATGGTAGCCGTCTTCTTCCAGATCCTGCTGTTTCTGATATGCTGTTCTCAGAAGATGACTCCAGTGATTTGACACATGGTAATATGCTTTTTAATCCTGTTCTTTCCCACACCTCCACCTCCTTCTGAATGTTATTATTACTGATGAAAGCCTGGGTGCTTTGAATACCACCCACCCATGCCACTGCTAGATGAGGTTCAGCATATGTTTTCTTCCATGAGACTCACCTGCTCTATTGTAGGCTTTCCTTTATTTCCTGCTGCAGCAGAAAGTGCAAGTTGCCCACTCTTCAGCCCCTCACGCCCATGCATCATGTGCTGCTGTCCCTTCTGACAGCCCCATACTGCAGTGGTGCTCTTTTGCTGACATTGCCTTTCATACCTCATCAAAGCTGTCCTGCTCAGCCCTTTAAATCAGATGTCAGCCTAGCTGGGGCTCACTGGACTAACACCTGGGCACATCCTGTACCTGGAATGTGGTCCGAGGTAGTCCTGTATAAAGGTGTGGTGATGCTCCTTCACTCCCCATTGGATCATGTGCTCAGGCTATGTGTTCTGCACTCGCACTGTAGCAGCATCACTGTGGTCAATGAGCACTTTCTTTTGGGTTTTCTGTGGTTGATCCCTTAGCAAGAGGAGCCAGTTCCTTGACTTCACATACCTGATCTACAGGCTAGCCCAAACCATAGGGGTTCCACTGCTCTTCCTGCCCTGGTTACCTGGAAATACTACCAAGTCAGAAGCTCCTGGGGACAGCTGGATAGAGAGGAAGTTCACTTATGGTACAATATTTGGCACTTCCCAAGACATCCTTCCCTGGCTTCTGGAAGCAACTTGATGGTGCAACTCCACCAGCCCACAGAGTGCAGATTATATAGGAAGATGTTATTTGTTTCCAGGCATGGTGGGCTGCTTCTCTCAGATGCCAGTCCCTCCTCAGTTCTTGCTATAGGTAGGACTCAGGATGATGAATTAGATGAAGCAATGCAGAGTCAATCAGCTGAGTGCACATTTGAAAAATATTGACTGATTTCAAAGATAGTATCATTTGCTAATCACTGGAGTAAAATGCTTTCTTTTTTCCTCTCTTTCCTAGGACTCAGTCAAGTTATATGCGGGAACCCCGCCAAGGCCCTTCGTGAAAGGAGGCAAAAGCTAGGTGTATGTTTCTCTTGAATACTTCATATTCCTGCCTGGTGACCCCCACAAATCCTGGGATAAACTGAACTTCCACTGTGGCTTGTGTCAGTTCACTCTCTTCTGTTGCCTCAAAGCCCCACAACATACAAGTGCCCTTGAGGAGGACAGAGGGTCTCTTGCCATGACGTTGCTTGTGTCCATGTGCTAGCAGCAGTTAACTATCTCCTGAAAAGGAACACATGAAAATCACATACCAGCTTCTGGTGGCAGATTTTTTATCATCCTGCAGTGAGCAAAGTGCAAGGCAGGATTGCAAAAAAATTTGATGGTATTTCTACAACAGCTATTAAGCAAAAGACTTTAGTATTTCTTTGATGTTGGTGTAAATAGTCAGATTGCTAATTCTGCAAGGTCGTTCCAATTGACTAAACAAACACAAAGCCAAAGTTTGTGCCTCTTGGCAGTGGGGTGGTAGCCCAGCCCTGCGGGTCAGCCTGCTCATTTCAGCATAACTTAGTGAGAGGACACCCATGTATGTAAAGGGGTGCAGCCCAGCTCGTCACAGTTTGTGGGCCCTGAGGCTCATGAATGTATGTTTAAACAGGCTGTGCTAAATCAGGGAGACAGCGTGCACAGGACACCTGCATCACTGCACTGTCAGCAGCCTGACTTAGTGCTGACAACAGATGTTAAAGAACTGCAGGAAAAAATATGTCCCACTCTTGTCTTTCTGCTGCTACTGCCTGAGCGCTGGAAGGTTTTCTGAAACAAATTTGAACATTTGAGTGAATTACTGTGTGTTATAAATTGGGATGTGGAATGGGACCGTGGTCATATACTGAATTATGCAGTTTCTGTGGTGCTGGTCTTAATATGTTTATTGGTATAGATGCTATAGGCTTATATGCCAGTGAAATGTAAATCAACAATCAACAGTTTTGCCACCCTGGGTTCCTCAGGCTGTAACAGCACGTGATGGGGTGTGGGACTTTTTAAAACTGAAGAGTAAGAAAATGGTGAGGGATTATCTAAAAACTCAGAGGTAACTGAACTTTGATGCCTTCTAAAATCCACATCTAGAAGCAGAGCTGGGGGGAGTTCCCAAGGTTATCAAGATAATATCTGTCGTTTTCACAGCCACCTGCAGCGAGCCCTTTGGAACTGAGCGGTCTGAGGACAGAAAACCTTTATGGCTCTGGAGGAGGAAAAGATGAGCACCAGGAAAATGTGTCCTCTGAACTGAGAGTATGGAGAGAGCAGCAGAAGAGGTGAGACCGTGGGAGAGTTCTTGACGTGCAATGAAGTCGGCATTCATTTTCTCCTGCAAAAATAAAATAAGCGCTTTGGCCACCTGGTGGCGGTTTCGAGGGATAGTCTTGGCCTCCTTCCTTCCTGTCGCTGCTTTGGGACAGGCTGGCAATCCGTCCAACTGTCCTCCCACCTGGAGCATCTGGTCACGGAAGAAAAACCCTCTGACCTCTCTCTAGAGCAGCTGAAGTCCAGGATAGGCAGGGTGGGCTCGCTTCCTTAGCAAGAGCAAGGAAATGACTTTTCATTACAGGTAAGCCATTCTTGGCCCTGACAGTGTCTACCTTCAGATGGTAAAAGAGCTGAAAGCTGATGAGGTTTTCTTCATGCAGCACATTGGCCTCACCAAACAAAATGCTGAAAGACAAATAGCATCATGCTGAGATTCCCCCATCTCACTGATAGGTAATGGTTATTTTGGTAGTAAAAATGGTTTTGTTTCTCTGAGCTTACTTCACTAGGAAGTATTTTAAATCTGCCCCACTTCACCTGATTAACTTTAGGACACTTTCAGATAATCAGACACAGGCATCTTAGATGGCTGATCCAATTAGAATTATTTTTCCTATCTCCTGAGAAGTGTGAAGTAAGAGTGGATAAGTAAATCTACTGCCTAGGTGTTTGCCTGAGTGGCCATGCGAAGCTGCACTTGACTGGCTGCATAAACGCACTCAAAGGGCTAACTAAAGATGGGATACTTGATGTTGTCCAGGTGCCTGCAAACAGGTCAGCAAGAACAAGCCAGCCAAGCATCAAAGGTAATTCTTAGTTGTGAGGAAGAGGGTGAAGGCTGCAACCTGACTGACAGCTCTGAAGATGAGTTGAGGAAGGCCTATGATGAGGACCTCGCTGAAAGGATTTCAGCTGATTCTTCTTCTCACTCCAGTCTCTCCAAGTCTTCCTCAGGTACTGGACCTAAACCTCAGGGGAAGGGTTAACATCAGGGTAGTAACACAGGCTACTGTTTGTAGATATGTGTATTGGTAACTTCAGTGTTTTATGAGATGTGGCTTCTGTGCTCTAGAGCAGCAATTTGGAAATACCATTGCAGAGCCAGACCCTAAATAATTCATTCCAGTTTTTAAGCAGGACATGGTGGCCAGCTGTGTTGACCATCAGATTATATATTTCGGCATAGATCTGTAGAATTAAGAGGATCAGAGGTGATCTTACACTAACTTAGCATCAAGTACAGAGGAAGGACATGCCTCTGTCTTACTTTGTGTCATTAATTTATGACAGTGCTTGGGTGAGTCTAAAATACTGTCATTCCAACTGAGATGTATTTGAACCCAGTTGGCATTGATGTAAATAATGACTGAGCTAATGATTAAGGTTTAACTGCGCAACTGGGAGTTCTGGAAAGATATGCAACTAAAGGGATCACAGAATCACAGAATATGCTGAGTTGGAAGGGACCAACAAGGATCATCGAATCCAAGTCCTGGCCCTGCACAGGACCATTCCCAAGAGTCACATCATGCGCCTGAGAGTATTGTCCGAACACTTCTTGAACTCTGTCAGGCTTGGTGCTGTGACCACTTCCCTGGGCAGCCTGTTCCAGTGCCCAACCACCCTCCAGTGACCACACAAGTATTAAGATTATGATCTCATAGTCTCTTTAGATTTAATGTTATCTTTTTAGATTTTATGTTATTTCTTTAGATTGAGAATTATGGTCTCATCATCTTTGAAGACTGAGAAGGCAATGTCACAAACATCTCACAGTGTACCAGCATCATGCCCTATAGCATTAAGAAATTGAATGGTTGGGCATACATCTGACAATCTTGTAACCAAATCTGCTGGGAGATGGTGGAGTGGTTTGAAATCTGTTGCTATCTAACGTGGCAGGGGGGAATGACCCAGATCCCAAATCAAAAGCACAAGTGTGCTACCCAATGTGAGTTTCTCACAGAAGAACTTGTTGCTGGAAGCAATCCTTCTGACCAGAAAAGGACAAGTCATCTGAGTAAAGCCACCCTTACGTAGTGTGTTTGCAGCATCAGATCTGTATAAACTGCACTCTTTGGAAGGCACTGAATGTTATTTTGGGCTCTTGAGTCAGACATACCAGTCTCTCAGTGTGTCTACACTTAAAAACAAATTAAAAAAACCCTATGAAGTTTAGACATTTTAAAAGCATATAGTATGATGCAAACTGTTCAGTGAAAATTTTGTACCAGCTTTTTGTGGTTACCCTAGCTATTACAATACATCTCCATCAATCCCTTCATCAAGCTGAACTTTCTGGGCCTGGGTTTTTTATGGCACATTCTTTAGATTATGTTCCTGCTCTGGACCCCGCACATTAGGCACTTAGGTACAGTTGGTTCTTTTAATAGACAAGAGCAATTGGATCCCTGCTATATATAGAATGGCTGGTTCTTTCAATAGACAAGAGCAATCAGATCCCTGCTATGTATAGAATGGTTTTAAGCATATATGCATGCTTGTTATATTTATAAGTCAGCAACAAGTTTTTTCTTCTCTGTATGCTGCACCTGAGGATTACATGGGCTGAAATACAAACAGCCAAATAGTAGCCCTGCATGTAGTGCAATATATTCCCTGGCAGTCAGGCACTTTCTGTAATTTTAAAGCTAATCTCAAAATTATGAGGTTCTATGATCTCTGCGCCAAATAAAAAAAAGTAGATCTACTCATGTGTGATTATTTCTGTGCCTTGCACTTCAGATTGCTGGAAGGATTCCTCAGGTATTTGAAACAAGTCAGTGCAAACACTGGCCAGGAATGATGCAGGTGTGATCCTGCCTGAGAACAGAAGGGTGGGTGAGCTGGTCTGTCCCTCTTGAGCTCTGCATGGCTCCTGAGCAGTTGTGGTGCTTGGCACATCGCCAGCAGTGCTGGCAGGGAGGCTGCCAAGGAACCCAAATGCCTGACTATCAGAGGAAGCAATTCAACAAGGCCAGCATTACTGTGTGCCCCGGGACAGCTCCATCACACAACATCTCCAAAGCCACTCACTGGGTTAGTCATGTAGGAGTAAGATGAACTGGTAAGTCACTGCGCTTTTCACTCTGTTTCAGGTTCGTCACAGACTCAGGAGGGTGTAGTGTTCTCCAACCCAAGCCCTTGTTTAATTCCATCCCCTCCAAAAAGCCCTTCACCTGCATCTGTAATGAGTGTTGCAGCAAGACCCTGGAAAACAAGAAACCACAGGGTAAGATGCCTAAAAATACCCAGCCAAGAGGAGGACAGGCAGTGTACACAGCGATGCCAGTCAAGGGCTCATCAAGAAAATTCAGCCCAGCCTCTGGGCGAGGAACTTGCTTTCCTGAGCCTGCACAAGATGCTGTCTGCTTCTGGATCTCAAGGGCAGCACCAGCCTGCTGGCTGCACCAGCCAACAAAGGCCTATTCCAGGACCAACAGCTGTTGGATCAACAAGGATTGGGTATGTGCACTGCTGGCAGCAATGCCTGCAATGTGTCTGGGGAAAACAGAAGGGACTTCACAGCAGGAAAAAGATTTCTGTGTTGTCCATGGGGTCTCCTCCCTGTTCTGTAAAAGAAATTCCTTTTATTTGTGCTGACATTTACCTTTGTCCATCTAATTCTAATTGAAACGTTTTGTCATGTTCCTTATCCTTATAGAGTGTTAGAAATTATATATTTTCTTGAATAATAGCCCAGTGTTCTCACTGATCCATTCTCATGTTCCCCACACAGAGCCAATACTGTGTCTGTTGCACAGCTCTTGTTCAAGGCTCTCCTCGAGTAAACTCCAGGACAAGTTCCTGACATCCCACTTAGGTTTTTTTCCCTGACATGAATTCATGTTAGGATGAGTTCTGGAAAATGAAGTAGGCATTAGAGAAGTGTCACATGCACCAAAACGTTGTTATTTCTGTACCCCCTTACTGTAAGATTAGCATCGTGTTGCTTTTTGAAGAAATACGGCTGAGGACTTGTGACATGACAGGTTGATTTTCAGTTAACACAGTCATCATGGAGTCAGTATAGACAGAGAACACATGCCTTATGTGGGAAGCTGGTGTTCCTTGTGCTTCTCCCAGGCCTGGCAGCTTTTGGATCAGTTTTCAGAGCTGGTGAGGAGAATGCAGATACCCAGATCCAGAGTGCAATCTCGCCACAGCATTTCTCTCTTTTCCTCAGGCCCATCATGGACGAAAGCCCTTCTGGAGAGATCAACCACCAGCATCCAGCTGTCTGCTCATCCACAAAAGCCTCAGAGAGGTTTGAACCAACATGTGCTGCTTGGCCCCTGACTGCCAGGGCCGTGCTGGAGCCATTGCCAGACAGTACTACTGTCACAAGGACATCTCAGAACAGAAGTCCTCAGCCCTAGAAAATACCCAGTTTTCAGCATGTGTTGGAGCCATGTACACAGAACAGGCATGAAGGATCAATGCTATCTTTCAGCTGCTTCTGCAAGCTAAACACAGAGCTGTGCAAGTAGAGCAATTCAAACAAATTACATGATTTGCCTCAATTCAAGATACAGCTGGTCCAGAAATACTTTAAAGAGCAACCACTGATCAACCAAGGAGCTAATGAACCTCTTATTACAGAAAAATGTGGTTATTTTTGCAACTTTCGTGCACTAAACCAGAACAAATTCTGTGGTATTTCTTCTCAGCCACACCATGCCCTGCTCTGGGAGTCAGGCAGGGACACTGAACAAAGCAGAGCATGAAGCCTGCTTGTTGGGAGTGGGCTGGAGGAGGTGACGAGGCAGCAGCCATGCCATCTGCCTTTTGCAGTCATGGATGTTTAACATATGAGGGCCAAAACTGAGGTCTTGAGAAGAAGTGCTGACTGGAGCAGGTTCTAAGGGAGAGGTGCACAGCCTGGAGAAGAGCCCAGGAGAGCTGGATTGGTTTCAGAGCTTATGCCCCCACAGGAGTTCACCCCATTCACAGGCATTATAGGATCCTGTTAGATGCATTGCTATGGGAGTAAATGCTGAACAAGTGGCTCATCCCAGTATTAGCATGTTTGTTTGCTCCATAGGTACCTGGAAGGACTTCTCTCACTTTAGACATTGCATTCCAGAATTTCTTTAGCAGAGCTGACCTCTGTCACCAGGTGTCAGAGCATCCCTGGCATGTACCTTTCACCTCCATCCTACCTCTAGCTTTTTTAGACCAAATAGACTTTCCAATTTAGTACAACTGAATGATTTTAAGTGAGGATGCAGCAAAGACAAGGCAGGGAAGTAAGGGAATAATCTCTTGTTTTTTCAATAGGACATTTGCTTTGTATTCGGGTGAGATTCAAAACATTTGTTTTAGTGACTACAGATTGAGTTGCTGTTCCAAATGACTGTGCCTTACAACTTTATTGATGTTGCAGTCTGAAACCAAGCATCATCACATTTTTTTCCAGTTTAAATTACTATGGTTAGATTATATTTTTTAATCAGTTTATAAAACAGTAATTACATGATGAGTTAATGAATTGGTTTGTCTCCTTTCTGCAGGCCATCTTAACACAGAGAAGCAGAATAATAGACAAAGACCTAAAACTTCCTTTTGTCATGGTGCTCCTCGTACCACTTTCTTCTACAGAATAGTCTGGAGTTTGAAGCTAGTTTGCCCAGTTTTGGTGAGCCCTAGTGGAAATCATCCATCAAAAATCATTAAAAACTATGTGACGTGATTCTGTGCAATACTGTGGATGCAAGCCACGATTTTCTGTCAAATGTCACCCAGCAACAGTGCCTGTGTCCTTGTATGGGCCTCCTAAATTTGACTTTTTGCCAGTGTCACTGACCATACCATCACCAAAAAAAAAAAAAAAAAAGAAAAAATCTGACCTTATAAAGGAAAGAAGACAGTGATAGCATAGTTTTCAGAAATTGTCTATGCCCTTCCTGCCTTCTTGAACTCTCCAGGCCTTGCTGTCAGTCAGCACTGGTGACAATCAGGCCCTTCTCTATATCCAGGGGTTGTACTAGCGGGCAATGGGTAGGACTGTCTTCTGCAAATATTCAGAGCCTCCTTCTCAATTGGCATCTTTGATTTCAAAGGGGTGAACGGGCAAAGAAGGGTTGCTGGGGTTTGTGCATGTAAACTGTGGCATCCGGATGGGTCTGGACATGTGCATCTGCAAATGCAAAACTCTGGGTACAGATCTGGAAAGTCTCTCAAAAGCACCTATGAGCTTGTCTCACCACAAACTCAGCTTGGCTCTTTATGTGTGTGGAGCAAGAAGCTTCTCTGAGGTGGCAGAGAGAACATGGAGAAACGGTCAGAAAAAACAGCTCTGCCCTCATGTGTGGGAAACACAAGTCACTGAGGACTTTTATCCAGACCACTTCACTCAGGGTTACCTGTTTTACCTTCCCTTCAGGTACCCCAGTGGTAACTCTCAGGGGTGCAGGCAGTATGTGACCTTCAAAAGAGCCACTCCACCCCTAAGTAACCATCTCTGCCCCTCTGGTGGTCTAACCAAAGCAATCACATGCTGCATCATGGTGTGGCTTGTGTTCGTAGAGACAGGGGGAGATGTCTATGCCACCTGATAATCACTGCATCACCTCCTCAGGTGCATATTGCTAGGGATGGATATGTAAGACAGGCATAATGCCAAATGCTCTTGTGTCCTGCTGGTGCCACTGTGGGGATTTAGTGTATAGACTGAAAGCCTGAGGAGCAAAGCAGTTGAGATGAGCGCTGTGGCTTCAGTGGCACTGTGCTACAGCAGAAATCAGTGGTGCCAGGAGCTGGGAGCCCTGGGGCTCTTGCAGCATCTTGGTGCCACTGGGAAGCATCTTGGTGCCATTCTCCTCATTTGAACCTCTGGGTTAAGTGCAGGAAAGCAAAAGCTCTTGTCCTCAGATGGACCTGTGGACACAATACCTCATGCTTATCTGGGAGGTGTGGTTGGTCTCGAGCTGCACTGCTGACCACGTGCCCAGAGCACAGGGCAGCAGGCCAGAGAAGGCTGCTCTTCATGCTCAGTGAAGCAGCAATGCTTAGCTTTTGGGCATTGCCTTCCCAAGGTGGATCTCCAGCTGTGTTACCCAGCAGGGCAGAGCCTGGTTTCAGGCGTACAGAGAGGATGATGAAGCACTTTGGCAGCAGGGCACTGGCACCAGTAGAATCTGACTTGCCTCTGACTTGCACACATCTTGTTAATATGGTTTGGGCACAGGGAGTGGAGTAAGACTAATTAGTTAGCAGCACATGAAAGCTTAGCAGGTGGCAGAGCTAAGCAGTGGTGGTCAGCCATGTCGGAGGCATCAGATTTTTGCATGCCACCTTCATTGTGTCCCTTCTGGGCGATGTGACCTGCTGAGTGGTTGTGTGCAAGAGTATGTGCTCTGCAGCTAAATGGGGAACGGGACCCAGCACCAGGCTGTCACACGTGGAGCAGCAGGGAGGCTTGTTAAGAGGGCAGGTTTGTGATCACAGCCTGACCTGATGGGGAAGAGGGGCTGGTAGTCTGCCATCTGCCAGTAGTGGGTGTGCCTCCAGGTTTCCCAGAGCTGCCATGCTGTTGTCTTGCAGTTTCCAGGACAAGCAAAATAAACAGGGCCATTGCTATCTGCACAGCTGCAACAGATCCACAGAGAAAATTATTGCTCTGGTTTAGTCTCTGCTTGTCCATATTTCACCTTTTTCATCTAGAAAGTGCAAAAGTCAGACAGGGCTTTAATAGTCTTTAATAGGTGACATTATGAAATATGACGTATGATGGGCTACTCGTGAATTCAGTTCTCTTGACCCAAAAGGGAAATATATGGGGAGTTTAATTTTGTGGTTTTTCGTTGCTGTTTCCCCTGCATTGGTCCCTTGAATACGGAGAAAGTTCTTTAATGAAAAAGCTTATTCCCATCTCTTGCCTTTGCAGACTCTTAATATTTGTCTCAGTAGGATCCTTGCTTCCAGTCGGATGTGACGAGTTTCAGATGTGCATTACCAGAGTCCATCTCCTTGTTCTTATAATGGGCCAGGAGCTGCTGATGCCTTTAAATATCTCACTGCCTTAATGGCATTTGCTGCTGGCTGCCAAATTGATATCTAGTGTGTAAGCTGGAGAGAGGGGCGAGAACTGTTCCCCTCACCTATTAATAAATCAGCACTGCAGGGAAGAGTTTTCTGCTGGGAGCCAAGTCTCATCAGTGCATGCTGCTAAGGGAAGGGGGGCAGTGGTTAGCTGGGAACAGTTGCCCTGCAGGGAGCAGCACTAGGAGCTGAAGGATTTGGCCCAAAGTGACAATGCTGTGGTATTAGAAGCAGCATGATCCATCCAGGAGGCCTCTGAGCATCACTTAGCTGGTATCCTGTGAGCAGCTCTGCAGGAGTGGCTGGTGTTGTCCTGCATGCTGAAAGTCTCCACTCAGATGGAGCTTTGAAAGAAAAAATGGGAGAAATAAGTAAGGACCTGTGTGCCAGCCAGCCTGTTATTTCAGTGTCTAAAAATTGTTCCTCTTCCTGAAGGGAAGCATGTCTGGGACAGCATCCCACTCAGACAAATAGGCCCTGACAAGCAAAGGTGGGTCCTGCTCAGACTTGGACTGTGTTCTGCACCTCCTAGCTCTGCAGAGCCCTGCCCCTTGCAGAGACCTTAGCATCCCATGTGGGGACAGCGTCCCCACGGCAGCTGTGTGCCCAGCGCACCGCCACAGGGCTTGGGGCTGTCGTGCTAGTTACTGAGGCCATTACTCTCACTGAAGGCTTGGGATTGCTTTGCACTTGGAACAAATTCACCTTCATTAAAGGATGAAGAGGAGATGATTTCTTTGTCTGTCAAAGAGGAGAGCTTTGGCCCAGGAGTTGTTCAGGAGGAAAAGTCTTGTACATGCCTCCTCTTCAAATACGTGCAAATGACAAGTCAGCTCAGGATTATTTCCTATGTGGTTCCTTGGCTTGTTCACAGCCTGACATGTTTAGCTTCATTGCCATGGGCCATGGTAGAACACAGACACTCCTGGGGTATGATTAGTCTGATGGCTTGTGCTCCAACAGTGCCAGTCTCTCCATTGATAAAGGAGGTGAGATGAATCCTGCCCTGCAATAGTTTCTCAGTATGCCAGAGTATCCTGGCCATTTTTTTACTGTGTCTTGCTCCTCTAAAGTTACCCTGGGGGATAGTGGAAACGTCCTGGCTGAGAAAAAGGATCAGCCATTGGACATGGAGAGTGGAGACAGCATGAGCCTGCCTGCTGGGGCAGCACACCTCAAGTCAGTGCACATGGCTCTTTGAGCAGGCCTATGGAGCTTTTGGACCTTCCAGGGAGGTGCAGGCAGTGGGGCAGGTAGGTCAGGACGGCTGCAGGACAGCGAGGAGGACTTGTCCTGGACTGAAGTCAGGAAGTCAGGATGTGCTGCAGACCATGTGTGCAGGCAGAGGGCTGGCCTGTTGCAGATGGATCTCAGAGTGCAGGTCTGCTGCCCAGCCTCAGAAGAGGGGAATGTCTGTTATCTCTGTCCTCAAGGAGGAGGAGGCTGGCTGGACTTACAAAAACCAGTCCAGCTATCTGGGAGGGGACCCAGGTAATGGAGATCCTGCCTGAGAGGTCTCTTGCTGTCACCAGAGATAAAACAACCTTTCAGCAACAGCCTTGATCCAGCCTTAGGGGCAGTGGAGTAATTTTTCAGCTTTGCACTGGTTTCCTACAGCCCAAGGACAAATCCTGATCTGAGATGTAGCACAGTCTTACAAAGGCTACAAGAGCAGGGGCTTGCTCTGACCCATCCCTCAAACAATACATTTACCACCATCACGTTCTCTCCCCACTGCCATTGGAGACCTCATTGTGTCTGTGCATCCCCAGCTGTAGCTCAGTGCCATCATGCTAAAATTAAGGGAGTAATTGAGATCATTTTTCAAGCATGCCAGGGAATGACAGCCTTGCAACAGGATCCTCCTGCATGGCACAGCTTAAACCGAAAAATAAAACGTCGGATTCCTGGGTGGAGAGTTGCAGTATCATTTATAAATACTAAACCTGTGCCTCAGGAAGGGAGTGACTGCACATGCAACCAGGCAAGCGCCGCTTTAGCTGAAGAGCAAGAAGAACACCTTGAAATGGACGCTAGAGGGAAGAAGAGAGTCTCACAGTTCTAATAGGTTCAGAAACCAAACCCAAGCAGCTCCAGGGCGCTTGGGAGGAGTTTGACAGTCAGAGACTCAACATTTTCTTCTTTACCTTATCCAGCACCCAGTGTGCTTGCCTCGTGTGATGCCCCAAATGCACTATGCTGATAGTGGCTTGCTGTATCACACACGACTTTGATTTATTTGGAAATTTAGGAAGCTTGCAATGCCCTCAAATTGTAATGGAGAACATCCCAGACCTGCCTCAGCTCTGGAAAGCTGTGGTGCTTTCAGGCATTAGTGGTGTTATAGGGCATGTGATTATGCTGTGTGCAATCCCGACATGTTTTAAAGGTATGATCTTTGTCACAGACTATAGCTACAAGCTGCAAACAGGCTCAAAACCGTGCATGGCTTGAGTTCCAGTTTCTCCTCCCATGCTGTCCAGGGACCTCTCATCTCCGGAGCCCAGCAGAGCAGACAGAACTTCCTTGGGAACTGTGCTCCCCAGTGCCACTGGGCAAGTCCCTGCTGCTAGGTCTTCTAGTCTGAAACCAGTCCTCTCCCAGCCCAGCTGTGCGAAAGCCTTCTACCACTTCTCTCCCCTTCTCTCACCTCTTCTGTCCTTCCCTGCCCTGCTCCTGGTTCTCACCCAGCTCAGCCTCCCACCTGCAAGCAATTGCTGGTTCCCGGTACCTCCCTGGAACGGACCTTACTGGAAGAGTGGTGCAAGCTAGGCGTGGTTTGCATTTGTTGCTGCTCTTCTCTCTTCCATGGCTTTCCACCTGCACGGATCTTGGTCCTCCTCCTGATGTCAGGACAGCACTGAGAGACCCTGGCAGTTCCCAAGGGCTCAGTATCTGCCACCACCCAGCCTATGTCATTTCTGTTCCAGTTCTTTCCTCATGTGGAGCCTGGCAAAAATCAACACCCACGTTCTTACTCCTGCTCTGTGGGCAGGATCAGACCCTTCTTCCCCAACAGCTTGCAACAGTCCCTTCTTCATCTCTGGGCCACTCTGCTGCTGCAGGCTGCTGTCACCAGCATCATCCATACCCCAGGGGACATCTAGAGCCATGGCAGGGGCCTGAAGGTGAGTACCTCAGTACCTGCTCTCTCCTCATCAGCCAAAACACATTGCCCTGGCCATGCTGTCTGTAGGGACAGTGGTGAGCATGTGCTGTCTCCTGGTTGTGCCCTGGGCCAATCCAGGCTGTACAGACCAGGGCTGTGCTGGAGAGCACTCTAAGCAAGGGTACAGCACTGTCTGCCATCTCCGTAAAGGAGATGTCACGTTCAGGGAGAGAAAGGAAAGGGGAAACTGCCGTGGGAGGAAGCAGTGAAAACCTTTGGGAGATGCCCCAGGAGGAAGGCACTTGGCAAGCAGAAGAGGAAGCAGAGGCTGCAGTGGTCAGCACAGGGAAGATGGACATGCCAGCAGCAGGAGTCGGGCTGGGAGCACCGCGCAACCCTGTCACGGGAGGGAAAGTATGTTCTGCTGGATCAGGTGTGGAAGTAGTAACAAGGCAGGGGTAATAGACCCCCTCCAAAGCAACACCCTCCTAAAGAGAAAGAGGGGTTAGAGCAGATCTTGTTTTCCAGACCACCTGAATGACTGCTAATGTCTTGCCAAGGCCAGCATCTTCCAAGGTCTGGGTATGAATCCATCAGCCCTTACCAGAAAAATGCTGCACACCAGGAACAGCAGCCAGAATCAGGATGTGGATGTCTTGTCCAGGAGAAGGGGATTTCCTGGATTAGTCACCAAAGCTGCCCCTGTTCAGAAGCTCAGTTCCAAAAGCTGCTAGGATCCTGCAAGGAATGTCTCCTGCTGCTTCCCCAGGTGGGGCCTCACAGCAATAGCAAGGAATTAAAAATATTCAGGGGTCTTGTAGGGTCAAAGCAACAAATACCTTTTTCCCCTCGATGGTCATTAACAAACTAATTTTTAAATGGAGGGGGAAAAAGGTCAAAACTTCTACTTTCCCTGATTTCTCCTATCCCTTTTATTTTATCCAGTGCCAATTTTGGTAGTTTTGAAAAAGAAAAAGAGAGGCATTACTTTCCTCTTTCAATTGCTATTGTCCAATCCTGGTTTTCTTTTATTACAAACAATCCAGGGGAAGCAGGAATCCAAACACAAGCCTTTGGATTAGATTAATGGCATGTAAAAACAAATGAGAGGCCCTTGCTGCTGTGGAAAAAGTGATTACCTTAAGATCAAGTAACTTTGCAAATGATTTACAGAAGAAGGGACAGAGATGGAAAGGGGCTGCTGTGTCTTGCTGGCATTTGGGAAGGTGGCCAAAAATGCAAGAGGGGGACTCTGTGTGTGTGTACCTGTGTGTGACTGTCTGTTTCCTGTAAAGCCCTGGGGTGGCTCTGGCATCACTGCCACCTTGCCCTGACTCAAGAATGGAGGCCATGCGAGGTCGAACAAGGGCTGCGGGGGGAGTTGGGATGCAGGATTGTCATGGGCAAAGGTGGAATTTTCAGACAAGGTCTATCATGGAGACCCTCCTGTTGAGTCACGAGGGTTAGAAAGGACCCCCTTGCTTTCTAAACTCCTTCTCAGAGAGGAGTCTAAGTGCAGCTGGATCCAATCCTAGTCCCAGACTTGATCAACAGTTTATGTCTAAAGGATTATATAGATGTAATTGGGCCTTTATACAACTTTGTCCTACAGAATTAAGGATGACAAACCAAATATATTTATATGAATACAATGATTATTTAAATGGTGATGATAATGATGGTTAGACTAAAAGACTTTAATTAGAATTGTTTACTACAGAATATAGAGAGTTGTGACTACTAGTATAGCACACTATTTCTTGAGACCATATTGAAGAAACAATATTAAAGCTAGCAAAATAATTATTAAGTAGAGATTGATGCTACTCACCCATATGAACAACCATGGGCATATCTCTTTCATTCAGCCTTGAGGAGTAAGCTTGTGGGGAGTCCCCAGTCAAGAGAGGAATCTCCAGACTCCAAGATGGGGTGTGTTAGAAGGCACTGACATTAAAAAGTGTGACTGGGCTTTTATAGTACAAAGTGACTTCCTGCCAGTCATATGTTCCTAGGCCAGCTGTGTCAGCTCACCAGCCTCTAGCTCAGCACCATTAGATAAGTTATCAGTACTATAACTTGTTGGTTCCTTTATCAGGGACTTTGTCTGCCACCTCCTCGCTGGTGCCAGTTTCTGTCAGGAAACATTGTTTTTCATGTCCTCGGAATGTTTCACTTTGGGATTGATGAGTCAGGCTGGTTTCAGCATTCTTTGACACCGACAGCAGCGTGACCCCCCTTCTCCATCCATCACTGATAACTTCTTGCAAATATGGTGAAGTCTGAGCTGTTTTACCCCCAGCCAGGCAGAGCATCCTGCTACAAGGAGGGCTTAACCATCAACACCCTGATGGCTTTAACTCAGCC